CTTTTAGGCACTTTGTTTTTACAAAAACAATTATCAAAATCTTCACCACACTTGCATGCAGATATGTCAAACAAAGTTTTCTCACTGACTTCTCTAAACGCGAGCGTTTTTTCTTGCGACTTTCTCATGTTCTTTTTTATTGATTTATATTTTTGATTCAGATTTGCTATCAAGCTTAAAATTTTTTGATCTGAAATGATTGGAATTGATGCTTTTTGCCAGATCTGTTTTAATTCGGTTAAAATAAGTCGCGAAATGTTATTTACGCTAGGATCTTTTCCATTGGCACTTTCTTTTAGCAAATTCCTATTCCACAAATAACACTTCATTACGTCAGAGTTTGTAGGAAGGACATTTCCTAGCAAATCAGTAGGTAAACCAAAAACTTCACAAAATAATTCTTTACGTGTTTCAGGCATTTTATATTTGAAAAAAAAGTATAAAATCAGTTTGGTCGTCAATGGTAACTGCGAAAAGGAATCTAGCAAAAATTAGAGATGTGCATACAAATGAAATTGAATTGTTTCAGATTTATATATTAGTTTTCATTGTTGCTAAGCATAATCAAGAATTTTAGGAGATGTTGTGTACTGTGTAGTATTTTTGAGCAGAATCGACCATTTTTATACGTTAATAGTCGAGACTTTACTTGTGTTAATAGTGAAAATCTAAAGGAGCCTAGAGGAACCTCAAGACGTATACAAAAGTGGTTTAAATTTTAGTGATTTATTAATTGACCTAAAAGACATCTTTTGACAACACAGGCATTTGAAATTTCGAAAAAAAAATTTTTCACTCCACCCTAATGTGTACCCATTTATTACGCACCTCTTCAATTGAAATATTATAATAATTCTGCGTTTGTTTTAGAACCAGGTGTAAGTGCATAGTGTAGCAATTTAAAACTTTTTAGCAGTTACATGTTATTTCCTGAATGTTTATCACGGGATGAACATGAAAAAAGTTACGCGATAGGAAATAATTGCTATGTTTATAACCTATATTTTATTTGCGCGGAGTATTTTTTTAAAAGTTAGGATAGAGATTTAAATGATTTTTTTTGTTCACCTGTTAGTTTACGGTTTTTCGAGTTTATTAATTTAATTTTCACATTTCTTTAGTAACTCATCTTTTTCCCATATATATTTCTTATTTTTACTCTTTATTCTTATCAATAAATTGCTTTCAGTCGAATGTTTCGGTTTTATGTATAATATATTTTCAGTTAATTTATTCATCAATTAATTAATTAGTTTATTTATTTATTTTTCATGATTTTTTGTGTGAAATTTCTTATAATAATTTGTATGATATTCATCTGCAGCACCAGCAAGCCACGAAACTGATAAATGAAGAAAAAGAGATGGTATCTTGAAAATTTTCATTATAATGTTGATGTTCTGTACACTATGTTTCATCCTACAATTGCAAATAACATGAATGTGAACATTAAATTATTCATTCTCGTTTTAACTACTTCCTTCTTTGTGGATTTTTTTCTAATTAGCCAGCACGAAATAATTTGTTTATATAGTTAGCGCCGACATAATAGCGTAAAACAGCGCTAAAATTTCTCGATGAAATGGCGCCGACAAAATAGCGAACGACAAAATGGCGCAAAAATAAAATCAAAAATCATCATTTATTAAATGTCAATTTAAAAATTGAAATTGTACAATTTAAAGGCGCTGATAAGAAATCATTCATTAGAATGATTGTTGTAAATTATTATCTTTTAAACTTTAGGAACAAAATTGTAAAAATGGCAAGCCAAAAACCATTAACTTAATCTATTTATTATACCTGATATGTTGTAATGGATTTTGAAAAGGCTAGTCAAAATGCAATAATCACCGTGTTTCCACCCAGCAAACTGTTTCGTTGTTTATTACACCTTGGACAGTATATATATATATATATATATATATATATATATATATATATATATATATATATATATATATATATATATGCTCAAAAAATACTTTTCGCGTTGAAACATTTATTGGGTACAGTTGATTGACTAAACTTTCGGACCGACCAACACACACACACACACACACACACACACACACACATATATATATATATATATGCATATATATATATATATATACAAAAGTGAAGTGAAGTTAAAGTGAAGGATAGGAGGAGTAGTACAGAGCTGATGTCGATGATGGGACTGAATGAGGACATTGTGACATTGATAAGGAGATCGAGATTGCGGTGGTATGGACATGTCTTGAGAAGGGATGAAAGGGTCGGGATTAGGCGAGCGTTGGAGTTCAAGGTTGAAGGAGTGGTAGGAAGGGGTCGTCCGCGATTGGGATGGAGAGAGCAGGTGGAGAAGGACAGGGTGAAAGCGGGGTTGCGTGATACTGAGGCGAGTGACAGATGTGGATGGCGTCGAGGGGTATTTCGGTTTCATCATAGGTAGCCAAACGGCAACCCCCGATCTCGGGGAAAATGTCTAAACGTGTGTTGTTGTATATATATATACATATATATATGCATATATATATATACATATATATATATATATATATATATATATATATATATATATATATATATATATATATATATATATACAAATAATTTATTTTTGGTGCGTTGACATAGTCATTATGTTATGTTGTTGTAAACTGTCTCTTTTACTAAATGTTTATGTTTCAGTGAATTATCCTTTGAGAACATTAAAGAGTGTATATAATAGTAATAATAATAATAATAATAATAATAATAATATTATTATTATTATTATTATTTTACATCAGTCTAAAGATCGACAATCTCTGAAGAAAGGTTACAGTTTTAACCTCTATGTCAATGTCAAGAACTTCGTCTGTCGTATCGGGGAGAATGCCCAAATACTTCTCACGTTGTTTGACGCCAAGGAAAATACATTTATTAGGTACAATTGATTGACACTAACTTTTTCCAATTTTTTCATTATCTTTTTTTTATTGCCTCTTTATTTCAACTTCGAATGACTGTGCAACTCAGATGATGAAAAATCACATACACTTAAAAATCACATAGACGTCATAAAAATTTTAAGAAACTTTTCAAAGGTAATTTATGTAAGACGATATTGAGATGATAAAGGTACCGCTAAGTCCTGTTATATTTATTTGCATGCACTACTGTATATCGTAATTGAATGTAATTATTGACTGTCACACTGGCAACATTAACATCAAATCATTAACTAATTTTTTAGTTCAAATATCATGAAGAAATAAGTACCTAATGGATTTACTTGATAATTTATTTTTAGAATACATGTTTGAGTGTTTATTTACATACAATAACTTTTATAAAAAAAATTGTTGCAAACAAGTGAACACTACATAATGAAGTGGGGCGAGCAGGGAATGTTGAAAGACCTGGATAGTTTCAGTAACATGAGAGTCATCTACACTGTAACTTTAATTTCATTATTTTTATTTTTATTATTATCATCATCATTTAATTTTATTATTAATTTAATAACTGTAATTTCAATCTACTCTTATATCATTTCATATGATTTAATTTTTTTTCAATATTTAAAAAATATTTTATTTTGTCTTTTATATTTTTTATATTTCTTCTTTTAATTCATTTACCCTTTTTAATTTGTCTCACTTTGAAATGGATTAAATTATTTATAGAATTTATTGGCCTTTTAACATAGTTGAATCCGTGGGTTAACTCAATGTTAGTACATCTTATTTCAACACATTCAGGATCTGAACGAGAAGGACATTTCAAATGATAAAATCTTTCTTGTCTGTCAGATCATACGACTCGGTTACTTAGACTTTTCATTTCATTTGCATCATATTCTCAATAAATAACCATTTTTTCAATTTGAAATGAAGACTCAACGATGACGATGATGATAATAACGTGTTCTATGTTTACAAACTTTGTTATCGAAGCACTACTACTACTAAAAATATTTTAAACGTTGTTTGCATATTTGTATTCGCATTCTCTATCATAGATTATTAACTGGTATTAGCGTTGTTTGTGTTTGTCTGTTGTAATTGCGTTTTCATGTCATTTCTGCATCTGTCAGATTCTGATTTTATAAATAATAATATAACAATAATAATAACGATAATTATAATAATTATAAAACAAACTTTTGTGGACAGGTCGCATGGACTTGAAGGAGCCTGATTCGAAGAAGTTGACCCACGGTATGAAGCGTCCATTCGGTGTGGCCTCCATTGACGTGTCTGACATCCTTAAGGGCAAAATGGATTCCGACGACGAGAAACAGTACTTCATTCCTTTCTTGCAGTATGTCTCTTGCCTAATTTTTCCCATGCACTCTCATCGTTGCAATCCGATTTTTCAACAAAATAAAATATAACATAATAACGCATTAAGGTTTTACCATGTCTTTGACAACATTTATTTTTTGTTCTACCATGTTTTCCCTAGATTGTTTATACAAAAGCAATAATGAAGTTGATATATGCGGAATATTTTTAATTACTTAAACGTTAACAATTTTCATCCAATGAGGTTAGGTCTTTTTGTTACTCATAATTAAGAGGCTATTTCAAAAATATAAGAGTAGCGTCATTTAAGAGTTTGTTTGTTTAAGAAAAGCCTCGTGATATTCTTTCTTTGCAAAAGCGCAAAATTAGCATCAATACTTTTTTTACATTTAGAATAGTTTAATATGTAAAAAAAGATGTCACATTTATCCAATTAAAGTATGTAAAATGAAGTCAAGAAAAAGAAGAGCCACTTGTAATGAGTGCAGTAGTGGTGAGTGATATTCAGCATGTTAATATGTTAATCTTTTAAGATGCGGTGAACATGATTTCATGGAAGTGGTCATTAAGAAATCTATATTAGCTAAAGACATCAATCACAAAGGTCAAGGTTTGTGGGTGACCATGAGGAATCTCGTCGGAGATATGGCGCAGGTCTGTTTAAAACTCTACATCAAGTGAAATTTTATAAATTTGATTAAATTTATACTCAGTTTAACATTGTATTTAATTACATTCATATATAATATATTACATATATAAGCCTTTGTATAAGTATATGTTGTTATTTTTAATTTTTATTATGTAATTTATGACATCCTGTTTGCCTACCGGCTGACACTTGTGTGTTTTAACTCGTGTTATTGGCGTTGGTTTAATTGCTAAAAGTATTAACGTAATTACCGTTATCACTCTTTATTTATTCAACATGATAACATGATTACTGAGTTGTACATGGAAGCAAATTGTCTCTCACAGCTGCAGAAAGAATATCCTCATCTGCTTACGAACACAACATCTATTGCCAGGAAGATGGGATTCCCAGACGTCATCATGCCTGGTTCGTTTTTTTATTTGTTGTTTGCTCATTTTGTGCTTTATTGACTTTTTATCAACTCTTTATAAACACTGTTTCGTTTAGAAGATTTTTTGGTATTTCAATTACCTTTTAACTTAGGCTTTCTTTACCTTAAATGATATTAAAATATCATGTGACTTCTGACATTTTCCATAGGAGATGTCCGGAATGACTTGTACGTTACTATAAAGCAAGGGGAATTTAAAAAAGGTGGAAACAAAATGGCTGACAAAAACATTCAAGTTACTCTGACCATTTGCAATGAAAATGGGGAAGTTATTAATGTTAGTTTTATATGGTTTTGTAATTTTTTTTTTCAAAGTCTGACAGTTTGATAAGTTTCTGAAAGACACTCACGTGTAAATAAAGATGCATATATTTATTTTAAAATAATTATATTGTTGATACTGTACCAGTATTTTATTACGTTTCGTTCTTGTAACATTTTTGAAATTATATTTAACATGAGTAGTGAGTAGTGATGACGATTTTTTGTTTCCAAGACAGCATTCAAACGAATGCGAAGATAAAATAACGGCTTGTTAGATTTACGATGTTTTACATTTCTTAATTTTATTTTTCATTATGCTTATAACTTTTTTTTCAAACTCCTCCATAACCTGCAATATTAAAGGGAATGATAAGTGAGGGATCGAGTGGTTCCATGGTGAACCAGTTTGAGACGATCATCTACTACCACGAAGACCGACCAAAGTGGTATGAAACTGTCAAGGTTCATATCATTTTGTTTGCTTAACTTTTTTGCTGTGTTCCACAAAAATTTTCTTTGGATAATCAGTTAACATTGCTCTCGTTCTATAAATGTTACCATTTCTTATCCTAATTAAATTTGTCTCAAAGCATTGTACAATTTGAATTTAATTTGAAGGTGTCCATACCTGTAAATGATTCGAATGGAGTTCACTTGAAGTTCACAATGAAGCACCGATCAACCGCTGATGGTCAGTTACGTTACATCTTTACTCTTTCATTCTTTTCTCATATTTTATTGGCTTGCCAGGTTGACAGCCACACGTTTTAGTCTTTTATAATATGTTGAACATTTTGTAATGGTTATGTAATTGAATGTGAATACTAATTTATTGCAGTAATGCTTAATAGAAGCTAAAGTATTTTTTAGAGTTTGTAGGTCAGTTGAACTACTTTATATTTCTTTGTAGTTTCAGTTGAATTACTTGAGCAGCTGGATTTAAAATGATCTATTTTAGGTGTGAACGATTGGTTTTTATGGATGAAATATGCTAGATCGAGATGGTTTAAACATATGAAATGAAAAACAGGAGGTGACTGAATGAAAATTTGTGGATAAATAGCGGTACATAGTGGCCTATGTTTGGCAAAATCATTTTTTTGGGCATTCCGTTTTGACATTATGCACATGTAATCTTTGGTGTGTGTGCTTTTGCATGTTTTTTATATACTTGAAATATTTGGATGCAATAATTTAATGTTTCAAAAGCAAAAGACAAAGCTGAAAAGCCCTTTGCAATGTCGTACATTCAACTGATGAATGATGATGGCACGATTCTGAACAACACAGATCATGATCTACTTGTTTATAAGGTTCATAGTAATTTCACTTATTATATCATTCACATTATAGTACTGTTAACTGTTAAATCAATAAGAGTGGTATATCTTTTGTTTGATGTTGTATCTCTTTTTAGACACTACTTCGTTATATTTTTGCTTGATCTAATGTCTATAATGTCTATTATATTGGCTTTCAAAATTTAGATGGATAGTAAGAAATCTGAAGACCAAACCAGCGCTTATTTCAGGCTGCCAGCAACTCAAAAAGACTTGCAAAAGTTAATAAACTCATCTGGAAGTGCACTTAAATCTAACAGTTTGAGTGCTGGCAGTTACTCGCTGAGTGCCAGTGATGTCTTCCAAATATCTACCCTCATCTGCTCAACTAAACTAACTCACAATGGTTAGAATTGAAATGAAGACTTTTTTCACATTTTCCTTCTCTGCTGAATTGATTAAGTTAATTATTTTGTCGACGTTGAACTTGAATGAGGAAGACTTTATTATGAAATTTATTATAAAATTTAATTTGATGAAATGTTTCAGTTGAACTGATGGGCTTGCTGAAATGGCGAGACAATCCACAGGACCTTGAAACACTCCTGAACAATTTTATGTCAGTTGACGGCGGTGAGGTGGTTAAAGTAAGTTCTCATAATGAATTAACCTTGAAATTAAATTATTTATTGATGAAGCGTCTGGATTAAGATTATCTACTGAATCAATATTTCGATTTAGTCAGTGTTTTAATGGATTTCCCAGTATAATTGGTTATGATGTATTTATGAACATTCATTGCTGGTTGGTGGCTAGTGTATATCTACCTTTAATAGAATTATTGATCAAGTTATGAAAGTTTTTTATCAGTAAAAACTTATTTTAAAATATTTATTTTAATATTATTTAGAAATTTCAAAGTTTTAGAATTAAAATATATCCTTAATAATATATTCTATTTATTATATATTACTATTTCTTATTCATTTAAAAACATTTATATTTTTGCCCTTAAGTTCCTTCAAGATACATTGGATGCCCTCTTTAACATTCTCATCGAAAACTCAGATTCTGATCTGTACGATAAACTCGTTTTTGACGCCCTCGTTAGTACACTCCAAATTATAATTTGTAAACTTTTCAAGTCGTGCATTCTTTCCATGACTGCATTTGTGTCCATATCCATTCATTCTAGGTTTTCTTGCTAAGCATTGTGTCGGATCACAAATATAATCAGTTCAAACCCGTGCTTGACGTTTATATAAAGGATTCCTTCAGTGCCACACTTGCCTACACGTTTGTATAATTAATTTTGTAGGTAATTTATTTATTTTAAACTCATCGTATTGATAAGAAAAGTATTTGCTGTACTTTTCATCGTATTTCTTAAATCGAAGATCATATGATTAATAATTTTGCTCAAAAAGTTTATGGCAAAGAAAACAACGTCCTACCTTGGGGAACCGGGTCTCTGGACGCAAAACGAAGATTGATTGATTGATATGATTAATAATAATAATAATATTAATAATAATATTATTATTATTTAATATTAACAGAAAGTTGATGCTGGTATTGAAGATGTATATTTCTGACGTATTTTGCCTTCCCAAAACACAATCAGTCATAAAGGCATTTAAAACGTTGGATTACATATTCAAGTTCATCGTTCATTCCAGACTGTTGTTTGCTGCGTTAGTAGTTAGTTTTTAGCTCATTTGTCATTTATGTACTGTACATTGTACACTTTGCAGGAATTTTTTGGCAATTTTTTCAATGTGAACTAAAAGTCAACATTTAAATAAATCATCCAATAATATTGGATCATTTTATTTAAAACTACCTTTTGATTTATTCAGTAAATATGTCCTTTTTTATATTACTTAATAATCAAAGCAGGTTTATTATTATTTATGAAGGCTTATGCTATCAGATTAAACTTGCTAAATCTTACTGCTTCATCTTGAACGAGCTCTGTTCTGAACTTCTTTGATTTTTTAAAATCATTTTCATGTTAATGCTGCAAGTTGTTTGGTTTCATTTCATTGGAAGGATGGATTTTAATCTTGTTGGCTCTGGTTTTTAGACCTAACCTATGTATAATGTACTACTAGTCTTATTAACAATAACTTCTTTATAAGGTTTTTAAAGCTGGATAAATTAAATTGATAGCAGCTATAACAATTGAACTACATAGATTGATATTATAAATAAATTTGTATCTTTATAATTATTTTCACTTGCCTAATTACTTTTGAAATTTATTTTAAATTATCATTGACAGGTTGCACGAAAATAAAGGAAAACAGCAATTTGAATTATTGTTGGGACAGTTATTTGGCTCAGTCAACAAAATGATAAAGGAGGGACGAGAGATGACGAACGGAGTCTGTGCCATGTTCCTCAACATCCTACCCTCTATAATTCCTCACATACTGCAGGTTTACAACCAATTAGAATTCAGGTGAAATTTATTCATTTTTAAGTTCATCTTGTTTTATATGTATATTTTTTTTATATATAAACTGTTTTATTTTACATGGCACATCATCATGACAATGACGCAGTACATACTAATATAAGAACGATTGTACCTTCAAGTTTAATTTTTGATAATTTTCATGCTGTCTTGAACTATACAATTATATGGTAAAATATTTATTCGTGTTTCTAGATGATGAATTTAAAAATCAATTAGTAAAAATAATCATTTAAAGTTTAGTGTTTGTTACATTATTTTAAAATAATTTATTTTTAATTAATTTTTAAATAAAATATTAGCTGCAAAAGCAGAGCATGTTTAATTGAACAGTTTTGCGCTTTTTGCTAGAACCAATAACAGTAAACTCACATGGTATAATGCAATTTATCGAAAGATTTTGTGGCTGCATTAAGAGTTTTATTCATTTAAAACTTTTCTTTTAAAAAAATTATTCCCCTCTTCTCAGCACTGATCGCTCGTTTATCAAAATTGCTCTTTTCACAGTTTTCATCATTACATTCTACTAATAAATAATGTCCTTTTATTTGACTGTTTATTTAGCGAAGTGTTAATAGAATGCATAAATAGTGTTCCTCCATCGAAACTTGTGCTTAGAAAGATGCATTGTATCAACGAACTAGTCCACAGCCAGCTCTTTAAATTTCCAGGTTGTTCATAAATATCAGAATTGATTTATTTATGCACATTGTTTTTCATGCGAGCATCTAACAAATGCCCATGTGCGTGCATTGGCAGATTGTAGACAGCTTCTTCTGCCAGTTTTCCTCGACCACGTCCATCAGCTGCTAACAAACCACGTGGACACCATGCCAGATCGACAGTATTGGGACCCAACCACGAATGATTATATTGAATTGGAAATTTGCTTCAAGATCTTGTCCGATATGCTCGACTACCTATTCACATGCGATGCCGTTAGCGATATTCACATATTCAACATTTTACAATTGATATTGACAATGATTAAAAATTTCTCACAAACGATGGTTTATACATTTTCAACAGGCTCAGCATTGTATAATAAATAATCAGCGGAGTAGCATATTTAAATGTGATGGTTTTTGGTTCAATTTAATTTTAATGTTCAATATCTTACATGCTTTTTTTACGTTTCTCTGACACTTTACAAAATCCAGTAACTTCTTTTTCATTTACACCTCAATTATTTGTCCGCATCTCTGCTTTTCAACACGCCTTTAAAAACCACAATTTTGTATTTTAGCATTTCTGCTATCATTTCATTTATTTTATCTCATAAACTCTTTATCACTGCATCCATGCTATTGAACTGTAGCTCACATAACTCTTCATTCCTTGAAGATATTTCAAGTTAGCACATCGGTTTTTCGGTTACTTAACACCTAACACTTTTGCTGCCCGCATATCACTTTCAGTCAAAATATTTCCTGTCTGCTTAGTGACACATGTGGCTTCCTAATATCCTGATACTTGCGAGTGTCAGATTTGTACAGAATAATTGAGAGTACAGCAAAGTGTTAGATACAAAATATTATCAGCGAGATAATTGACAAATAAATTGAAAATATCTTTAAATGTCCACTCCTTTGGATAATTAAATACAAAATAGCCGTGGGTTTTATAAATTTGTCGAATTAACTAACTATAAATGTAAGACTGTTGGAATTTACTGTTGCTGATGTGTATATACACTATTTTCAGGCCGTGGTTTATGAGAACATAAAAGTTATTAGCATCAAAATGCTACGGCTCGTTACCAAAACTGTCATTTTCATAGACAAAGGATCTCCACTCGCTGTTAGTTTTGAAAAAATTTGAACAATATATTGTTTTTAATTGCCGTTATTTGATTAAAACTGTATGAGACTAAATTATTTCATCAAATGGCTTATGATGATCACATCACTTGCAACAAATTCATGTCCAGGGCACCTGTGTGGCAGTTATGACGGCCATCTTGCGTCAGATGACGGAGCAGCACTACAGCAGCTACATCAGCAACTTTGAGACCCCATTCGATTTGCTGGACTTTCTAATGGAGATATTGATGATCATCGAAGAACTGGTTATGAGAAATGTCTACCCGTTCGATTGGTCCGAGATGATTGGTCTGCAAAATTGGTGAATAATAATAATTCATTCATCAACAGCAGCCATTTTGTGATTTTTCATTATAAATTAAATAATTTGTTTTAATTCTGCTTTTTTTCTAAATTATTTTAATATATTGCTTACATTGACGACGTGTTACAAATTAACAGGGTGTTCATGACTGCTCTGAGATATTTCTCCAACACAATTAGAAATCAATTCTCTACGCCGTTTTATTTTGAAGTAATTTTATCTTTAACAAAGCTTTTCCCAAAATCAACCTTTTCATTAATTATTTTTAAATGTTTTGCTGATTACATTTTCGTTTAAAAGCGGCTTTATTATTATTATTTATTTACTTAATTATTATATTATAATTTGATAGCTGTGGAAAAGATTCTTTCTAAGTTCAATCGCTTTCATCATACAAAAGCCATTGCAGTTGGAAGATTTTTCACCTTCTAAAAGAAATAAAATCGTTTCCCAGTGAGTTAAATTTCAAAATATAATTATAATTGTTAGTGTGTAACACTCTTAATTGCAACGTGATTGCTTCACTTGCTTCACTAACTACATTTTTGTTGGTGTTTGTTGTAAAAGATAAGAAACTCAATTATGTTTATTACTGATGTAAGTTTATCTCTATTTTGTTTGTTTATCTGTGTGTTAATTATTTCATAACATTAGCATATGAAGTAGCAGGAAGCTTGCAATTAGGAGTCAATATCGTGTTATGATCATTAGTTTGAACTAAGTATCATGTTATAGTAAGTAATCAGTTAAGCTCATCTTTGAAATTACTTCCTAATCGCCATAATTATATATTTACTATTTCAGCTGTAATTAAAAATTGCTCTCATCACAGATACAAAGATATGAGGAGAGAGGCTAGCCTTGAAGTTAGATCAATGTGGCACAGTTTAGGTTTCATTCATTTACTAATATTTCAGACTAATGATTTTCACTTTGTTTTGAAGCATCTAACCACACACTGTTTGTGTAATTTTAAATACTGATGTGCCAAACGTTCAGTAACACTTAAATGCATTCTACTCATTTAAGAAAGCTTCAGTTTCTGCTTTGTTAATATGAATTTTATTGGTTTGAATTACCAAATAGTTTTTTGGTTCAAGAATATTTTTTCTAATTCAACAAATTTAATTTAACTTGCACAGGACAAAACAAAATTGATTTCATACCTGAAATGATAGGACCATTTCTTCAAATGACATTAACTCGCGACAAAGGTTTCGTCTTAAACTATGTACACTTGTTTATTTTAATGTGTGCTAAAATTGAGAATCAATAAAAAAAATTATAGATATGTTTTTGAATGTAATTTTAACTAATAATTCAAACAAAAGTATGACAAAAACTTATTGTAACCATAATCTGCATGACCGCATGTCGTTTCGTTAGTATTGACAGATATTATAAACATCCAAATTCGTTGTTAATTCTACCGTTTATAAGTCTTATGCTTTCTACGTCTATAAAAATCAGAGTAAAACTTTCAAATGTTCGCTACTAAACTTTATCATTAATTCAATGAGATGATCCGATTCAAATCTTCTAAGGTTGAGAGCTTGTTGTTTGCAGTCAACTGAGTTGTTTTCATGTACTAACTTAATTTCATGAAAAGAACTCAAATAACCTTGATATTTAAGAATCTTTTCAACATCGACCTGAACAAATTTTTTCTCGTCTTTAATTATCTTCATTAAAGTTTAGACATTCATTCTCACATGAGTTATTATAGTTTCTCCCACCCTTGCCATTCATATTTATTTATGGCTGCTTCAGATGCACATCAAAAAGCCTTGAATGCCCATTTTCGACTATATATTATACCTTGGAACTGGTTTAACTTTTCATTTTACTTTTTTATTATATTACGGGATAATCACGAATAAATTTTAAAAATAGTTACCATACAAATTATATGCTGATGTTACTATTACAAAACAGAGCTAAGGAAGTGGACCATACCTTTGTTTTTTGACATGATGAAAGTTGAGTTGAATCACACCATCAAAGAACATGGCAGTACCTACAAAAAAAATTTTTACAAGGTCTTGTTTGTTATGCCCTTTCATGTTATTCAGACAACAATTAGCAACTAGTCATAAAATGATATTGATTATAATAGTAATAATATGCATTGTATTTTTTGAGGCATTATTTAGATTAAAATTCAATTGTAATGCATGCAGTTGTATATGCTTACTTCATTCGCTTACCATTCTTTACCATCCGTTGGTTTACGTACCATCTTCTTCACGTTCTTCAATCTTTGCTTTTTACTGAAATGGTAGTAGATAATTCTTATTTAATTCATATAAATGTTTAAAAAGTTTTTCTTTATTTACCCATTGATATTTTCTGAATTGTAGATTCAAAAAATTTTGTTATTGTTTTATTTTTTTGTATAAAAATCATAATCTATTGCCAAAACACTTAGTCACTATTGCAAAAGAGATTTGATTAACAACAATAGCACGTTGAATGTATGAACATTATCATTGAAACAGTTTGAACAGGAGCTCGTAGCTCAGATTGATGAGTTGGTTACCTCAAATCATGGCGATGAATCTTATCAGGAACTTTTTTATGAGATGTTTGTTTAAATTTATTCAAATGTTATGTAACGTTTGTTATACGCCACGTGTGTTTAGGTGTTACGATGATGAAAGAGTGGCATTGTATGTACTGCTCTGTACTGTATTGTATGTCGTATTGTCGTATTGCGTTATATTGCATTCTGTTGTTTTATCTATTTAAAATTTATGTTACATTTTGAGTTATGTTGTTATGATAACGGAGTGAATGAGCACCACAATATTGTCCAATTCAGCATCAAGGAACATTGTGAGAATTACAAAGCAATAAAAGATCAAGGCCTTCTCTTCAACGAGACCATCAAACAACTTTTCCAACTCCTCCTGCAGTACAGGACCGTCTTGAAGGAGGACAATTATGATAACAAGATGATCTGCACTGTCAGTCTGCTGGTTAGTACCATCCGCGTTCGTTTGTTTGTTTGTGTGTTTGTCTGTCTGTCGGTTGGTCGTTCTGTCCATTGGATGTTCGCACTCCAATGTGGAAGTAAAATATTGTGGATATTAGTTTATCAAATGAATATTTCATAATTCAGTATTTTATAAAATATGTGAGTTGGAGTTTCTGAATAATCGTAATGTCTACATGTTGTGCAGTGTTTATTGGTTGTCTTCAAAATATTTGGTTAATATTTTACAATTTCTTTAAAATCAATATTTGGATTATTTTATTTAACAACCAAAAATATCAAAGGCTTGTAGTTTGAGTTTTGTAATTGTCCACTAAATTTATGTTGATCAAACTCAAATGTTAACGGTTATGTTCATAAAAAAAATGTCAGCTCAACCCTGTTATATGTTATATAAAAGTTGGCTTATGAGGTGCAAGAAGCTTATTACATAAAAAAGAAAACGTTCATTCATTAACCAGTGATTAATTGATTTTTGAACTGTTGATTGCAGAATTTTTATAATGAAAGCAACAGAAATGAGTTGTACATACGGTTAGTTGTTATAAACATCATTCTTATTTTTGCATTGTTCTAAACCGAATTCACGATCAAAATTTTGAATAAATGTAATATCCCTGTTTAATATTTGTAAAATTTGGAGTTAAAGATTTTTTTCCAATAATCATTTCTGAAAATTTCTGTTTGAAACGTCAGGTACTTGAACAAGTTATGTGCCTTACATTTGGAATGCAACAATCGTACAGAGGCTGGTTATACACTACTTCTTTACGCAAAACTCCTCAAGGTTTTCAATATTTTTTTATATTTTTCTCACAATTCTTTCTCAATTTTCAAAGATATCAACAGCACGCACACTGCTTGTATGAATACGCGTTAATCCGCGCATCACACGGCACATATTACCGCCTACTGCTTATTAGTAATGTTTTACCCAATTTTGTTTCTTTCATTGCCTGTTTTATTAAGAAATTTTTCACTAGTAAAAGCAAATCATTAAGATTCATTAAGGAATGTTGACTGACAGAGTTAATGAAATGAGTGTCATTTGATTTTCCAGTGGTCTGATGACCCCTTGCCTCCAGTATTGATGAGTCCTCACTTTCCAGATCTCAAGACACATCGCAAACTGAAGGAGAGATTGTATTGCCAGATAACCACTTATTTTGATGAAGGCAAAGTAAGCCACTGTTTCCTGTCTCCAAAATTTTGTTTTAACATTTTTTACATCTATCTGTTTGTTATGAAAACAATTTTTTTGCCAACATTTTTTTCAAAAGGTAATTCACTTTTATTTTATACTGTCAGATGTGGGAGAAAGCCATCGAACTATGCAAGGAGTTGGCTTCACAGTATGAAATTGAAACTTTTGATTACCCTCAGTTGGCAAACATGCTGGTAAGTCCTTTGTGTTTCTTGGTAAATTATTGCTTGTTATTTCTTTACGAATGCCTGTCTGTAAATCAATTTTTTTAAATCTCAATGGAAATATCTAATTTTTATAAATTTTAAAATTCCCACAGCGCAAGCAGGCTGGTCTATATGACAAGATCATGACAACAATCAGGCCAGAACCCGAGTACTTCAGAGTTGCTTATTATGGGATGGGATTCCATCCTTTTCTTCAAGTAATGAATTTATTATTGACACATCTTACTACGCTGAGTTATTCGAACGTTTTTGTTATCCATCAGCACTTTTTGGTTGAGGTGTGGTGAGATTGTAGGCATTAAACACAAGACTTTGTTTTGTCTCTGTATCACTTCTCTTGCAGAGATAAAATTTAGGCAATGTTTTTTGAAATCATGTACAATATATGCGATATTTTTCTCATGAAGCACTTAGAAGAGAGTGTTTGCCCATCATTGTTTTACACTAATGACGGCGAATGTTCCCAATGAAAAGTTTTTAGTATTAGAGCATACCTTTTTTAACATGTTGAATTCAACTTTATTTTCAACAAAACTGGCTTGCTACATACATTCATCACATCACATGCATGGCAGTAAATTTGAAAATTAGAGTCGCAGCTAAGTTGAGTTAAATTGAGGCCTTCTAATTCTCAATTTTTCTATTTGTCTGGTTTTGTAACAATGATTAAGTCTCCCGTCAAATCACATTTTCTTTCACTTGAATAGTTTTTTTTATAGAGGATTTTTTTTTCATCAGAATCGGACATTCATCTACAGAGGTAAGGATTATGAGAGACTCTCAGACTTTATCACCAGACTGCTCAATCAATTCCCAAACGCTCAAGTAGTTATTTATTATTCATTATTTTATTATTCACGATATTTAATCATTACAATGATATGTTTTTAAGTTTGTTATTCATCATTTTAACTTTTTACTTTTTTTTCATTATATTTCTCAGTGATTTCGATGAATTTTATGAAAGAACTTACAATTCACTGAAATTTTATTTCCAGCTAATGAAAACGTTGAATGCTCCAAATGATTCGATTAGGCAACAACAGAACAAGTGTTGGTTTTTGTAATTTATCTTCATTTGCCAAAAAACAAATAAATTGACTATTGTAATGTTCACCGCCAAATTAATTACTTCAATTAAAAATATAAAAGGAAATTTTGTAATAGTTGAAATGTGATGATATTCAACAAGTGACGTAAGGAGTTCACGAATGTTATTCGTTGTTGACCGCGATCTCTTCTCCCAGAAATCTTTCCGGCAGTTGTTAGATTTTCCATTCCTCTCTTCTGCATGACGTGACCGAAAAACTTCAACTGCCCCCGTCGGAATATTTGTAGTAATTTCTTCTTTTCATAACCGGGCTGTTTTAATACATCTTTGTTGGAGGTATGAGAGGTCCAACTAATTTTCATAATTTTTCTCAAAAACTACATCTCAGCAGCATTAATCCTTTTTTACATTTCTTTAGAAATCTTTTTCATTTTTTTTCATGTTCTTTTGCCATAACTATTTTTCGTTTGATATACATATCACATTTTCAACCTGAGGTAATCAGACTTCCGGGATAACTGAATCTGTTGACTTGTTTCACCTGTTTACCATTAATGATTATGCAACAGATCAGGGTGTTTTTGCTTTTACTGATAACCATGCACTCTGTATTTTGGTAATGTTAATTTGCAAGCCTTTCTTTTCACTTTTAAAATCCAGTTTGGAAACAATTGTTTGCAGTTTTTCCATTGATTCCGCTATAGGAGCTGTATCACCATCATATGTTACATTGTTTTTATTCACGCCTCCATTGGTTATTCCAGTTAAATCTTTGATCTTTCTCATGAGATTGTGCTATAGAGATTGTACTGGTCTGGAGAGAATACACTTTTCTTTTTTTGACCAAAATAGTCATCTTGTTGCCAACTTTGGTCCCAAAAGAGGTTTTTGATAACCATCGTATCTTTTCCGTCAATGTCCTAATTTTTCAATATTTCCATAAGCTTCACATATTTATGACATAATCAAAACTAATTGGATAACGTGGAGAAAATAAAAATTGACATTTGATATCTTAATCTGCTACATTACACGTTTATAAAATTAAAATGATGAAACAATGTTTTGTATGGCTTGATAAATGAAATGATATCTGTTACCTTTAATTAAGTCATCCAAGTGAATAAAGTTACACCGATTATGGAGCTGAATAACAACCTGGCCAGCAAGAGATTGAGTGATCAAATTTTAAGGTTTCCTTTTTTGTTTATTATTCTTTTTATTCTACTGATTTTTATACTTTATTGTTTTTAATATTTTAGGTATTTTAAAGTAAATGAAGTTCAAAAGTTCACTTATTCTCGTAAAAAAGAGGAATCAGTCAGTAATATGTCTGTTAGTGTTGTTGGGATTTTTCGCGGTTATTTTCTTTTTTTAAGATTAATGTTTAAGATCAAAGATTGATAATAAATTTTCAAAGAGTAATAATTAAACTGAAGAAAAGTCGCACACATATAACTCGTTCATGCCTATGTAACCTTGTATTAATATAAATATATTTCTATTTTATTTTTATTAATATAAATATATTTTTATAAATGGTCTTAATAATTCAACTGATGCAATTCGAACAATTTAATGTAGATGATGTGGCTGGAGAGAACGGTCCTGGTGACGTCATATCCGTTTCCTGGCATCCTTCATTGGTTTCCTGTTACTTCCACCCAGACTGTATGCCACTTCTTATTTTAATTTTCGAATGTATTAAGTATATTTGACTGTAAATTATTGTAACAGTTTGATGTTAGTCCATTGGAACTGGCAATTGAAACTTTGGAAGAGACAAATCAAAAATTGAAATCATTGGTTGAACAATTGCTTAATGACCCTACCTCTAAAGTTTGTTATATTTTCTTTCAGTTATTCAATTTTTAACATTGTTTATTTTATATTTTTTGGTTTTTCTTGTTTGGCTCATTAATGCTTCGGTCACATGAACATGTTGATTTTAATAAATTTTCTTGTGGCGTGGATGTCAGCGCTTTTGTTCAATTATAAGTATAGGATGATATCTAAACATTTCAAATAGGATTCATTGATTGAAGTTGTCGCTAAGGAACATTTTTATCGTTATTATTCCCCTGTGTATGTATTCTGAAGTTACAAAAAATTGTTCCCAAGAAATGTTTTCTATTTTACAGATTGACCAGCTAGGCATGGTCCTCAATGGAGTAGTTGATGCTGCCGTCAACGGAGGGATCGCCAATTACAAAGTATTTTTTTTTTATTTTCTCGATGTTCTCATCGTAAAGGTTTTGAATGTCTTTGAATGAATTTCTTCATAAGAGTCATCACTGAATATAAAGTCTAGATTAATTTTTTTTAAATCAGCGATAGCAATTATTATTATCATTCGGCCAAAAATTACCTGAATATAGTTAATCACGACTAATGTTGTATTAGGTGTTCTACACTGAAGGATATCTGAAAGATAGAACACCAGAAGAAAGGAAAATGGTGGACTGTTTGAAAAGATGCACAACTTTGCAGGTGACAATAAATTTTCTTTTGACATTTTATTTTTTTTTATGTACTTACTTTAATGTATTATACTTTAATGTCACTAAATTTTATAATTTTGACTTTAGGTAATAATTTTAAGAGAAGCATTGAACTTGCACAGTGAACGAGCTCCTGAAAACCTCAAACCATTTCAATCTCACTTGGAGCAAAGGTATGCGGAGATGAAAAACACACTTGAAAAAGAATATGGTATTAAGGTATGATTGATTTGATTCTTTCCAGATTATTATTATTATCATTATTATAAATTTGACCAGCCAAGTTCACGTTGGAGGTCCTTAATTGTTTCACTTTTGAGCAACCAACATAAAAAAAATATATCGTCTTATTTTTTCTTTTTATGTGTGTCTTTATATCTAATATGAACTTGAAATGTCAAATATATATTTACTTTGGTTGAAATCGTTAAATAAAGTTTGAAACTTATGAATTATATTTTGAAAATTTTTTTCCATATTTTTTTATAAATATGCGTTTAAATTATAAATTTCATATCTACTTTACATAAGCGAAAGTTGATATGACATTGATGAATCATATTCTGATCGACAGCTGAATGAAGGTGACTACGTTACAGTGAAACATTTATCATATTTGCCTACTTCACAAATTGAGTCGGTCAAACGTGCCCAGAGCATGGCCCCATCTAAAATGAAAGAAGTAGAAAGGTTAAATTTTATTCAAGCTATCTCACCTCTTACAGTTACAATCTTGTAGTGTTTTTTCCCACCTAATGTTGATAGTTTTTCTAACTTCACGAGCAAAACACTTGAAATTCGAAGGCTCTCCAATTCAGTAGGTATGTTACATCAATGACACTTGCCTCCGGTTCGCTCCTCCATAGGCTTGTGCAATCGAGTAGCGTTATCTCGTCACACAAAACGTTCCTCAAATCAGTTTTGGTATACCCAACGAATTGTTTTTGACGCTCAACGTAGTGCACTTATCCATCTAATTCCACTCGTGTCCTTCCCTTTTTTTCTAATTTTAAAGTAATTCTACTAATTTTTTAGCACCTTCATCTTTTTCCAGTCCCCTCTGGTTTTTCACCGTCGCAGCCCATATCACTTGTATAGAGTAAACTGTCTCTGATGTATGTACATATGTATATGTATTACATTATTCAGCTTCATGAGCAAACTATTTATGCGAATGAAAGTAGTTCTCCTAAATTTTCTCCAAGTTTTTTCATTCCTACCATTGTGTTGATTTGTAGCTGCATTTGTGTTTGGAGATTGAAAATTTTATAAATTGAAACAGAATTTCGCTAAAATATTTATTTGTAGAATTTTACAAAATTTGATTGATACACGACAATACTGATGAAGCACGAACGAATGAATAACAGACAACAAATAGTCCAAGTGCCAGTAGTGACGCGCGCCACAGCACCTGGTGTCACAACGAGGTCACACATACCATTCAACAATCTCCTCAGATCCAAGTACTTATCATTTATTTTCCCATTTAATTACATTCGTTACAAATCATTTCCACTTTCATTTTGTTACATTTATTGCACACCATTTGCTTTTGGTTTTGTTACAATTTCAAACTTAGATCTCGTGTGTTCAATAAGGGCTGATAAATCAATATAAATTTTTGAACTTAGTTCATTAATTTTTTTTAAACTTAAATTTTGATGACAGGAAAATTTTAAATATCGATAGTGACGACAATGGTAACGATATAATTTTTTTTGTATATAGAAATGATTCTGGCTTTTCTAGTTACATTTATTCGTCAACCGATGGTTCTTCTACAAAGTCAGCAAGTTCAGTACATTCCAGCAAGCAATCATTATTAAGAGCTTCCTTCAATACATCCGTCAATAACGAAGCTAGCAGCGTAAAGACATCAGCTAATTCCTCTTCATGTCGTGTGTCGGGAGTGTCAACCAGCAGCAGTTACAGATCTTGCGATAATACTTCATCGTCTTCTTCTCCGTCTCTTAACGAAATGGTAATAATTGTCATATTTGTTATTGCATTTTCTTGATTTTAATAGTTTAGTTTTTTTTTAATGTAGATTATTTCATTAAATTCATTTCTTCTTACTTTAATTCAGACTACTACTCCGATAAAAGTAAACGAATTTAACAAAACTCACACGCCGAACGTTTCACTGAACAACAAGTCAGCGTTGATTTCTGAGAAAACAAGCAGTAAAAATTGTGCGTCTGAAGATGATCCTCCTCCTCTTCCAGACAAGTCGAGTCACGCCGATTATGCTAATGTCGATTTTCAGACCACAAGACCGCCAACTGCTTTATGGGAGCAACAACAACCAACAAGCAAGATATCACTTAAAGAAAAAGTTAGTGTTGTTACATTATTTAGCTTAGTTATCAAGAACATTCTTCAGCTCAATTTATTGTCTTATACTAAAGAAATATTTATTTTTGTATTTACCCATTCCTGCCTAATGTAAATCCAAAAGATATCGTCAATTTCATCTTACCGTTACATCTGCCAGAATGGTCTGAATTACGCTATATAATTAATTATTCTTATTTTGTTATAATTGTTATCTTCGCTATTTGTCATTGACTGTAAACCATAGAAGATTGTAAAAATCTACTATAGAGACTATATAAGGGGTTGTGAATAGAGGAGTTTTTAGCGAGGTTTGAAGCGAAGTCGTAAATGTGATTTATGTAGTTTACTTGGATTAGTTTGGTGTTTCTCTTACAGTTGGCATTCAAATAAACGTTCAACTAAGTATGCGTTTGAATTAATTCTTTCAGCATCTTTCGAAATTAACCCGCAAGCAGTGAACAATTTCATTTTTTTTTCATTTCATCAGTCTTCATTTCAAAGCGCTCTCATTTTACACACATTATTAGTTCTATTCGTTGTATTAACGACGTTTTACACTTTAGTTTGGTGTAAAAGTATTGATGTTAATTAATTAAAATGAAATTTTGTATTTAGCCTGCCTTGCCACTGCCCACCACTCCTAAACGATCCACTTGCCTCGCCAAAAACCAGTCTAAAGAATTTACTTTTGATGCGAAAGAAAATGACAAAGATGCGCCTTTGTGAAGTACATTTTTACGTACAACTCAGAAATATAGATAAAATTGTCGATAAATCGCATTTTAATGACCTTCGAAAGAAATAATCAAACTACACCAATAACACACATATAAACCATATTAAGGACCATCATGCATCAAATATTAATAATAATTTGCTTTCATTATTTATTTATCGTCATATTTCCCGTAATTTTAATATTGAACTTGATTCTTTACGTTGGGATATTTAGACAGTTCTGTTTAGTTTCATCCATAACATTTAGCACCTTCTTTTGAGAATCAAGATTTTTGTCTATTTATTCATTAAATATCCTCAAACATAAATACTATTGAAAGCAGTGTAATTTGCATTTTGATACTTTTTATATTACATACGTATACTTTTTTCATCATGTTATTTTATTTCATGTTTTATCATATAGCTTTCTAAGAATTACGTGCTCAATTTTTACAATCAATGTAAATTAATACTCTGAATTTAACTATTTTATAAAGTTATAATTCATCAACAATAAAATATTTAAATTTTAGTTGAAAATTCTTGAAGATCATAAAATTATTTTATGTGGATTTAATAATCTTGTCAGCATTGAAGCTGAGGGAATGTTGAAAGAAAATTATTGCACAGAATCAATCATAATGTGATAGCAGATAGATGGTCGAATAAAATGTAGAGAATCTACTGGTAAAGTATTTTAAGGTTTCAGAAGAAAATCGTTGGGAAAGCAGTAGATGGAGAAAAAATTCATTCATTTCAAGGACCTCCTAACCCATTCATTCAAACGTGAAAATTTGTCTGTTCATAGCTGTCCCTCCACGCATTTAGACTAACCACTTTTCTTCATTTTCAATGAAGTTTGAATACTTTCAAAAGCCATACTTTATATAAAAGAATATTGACCAACAGAATATAACAATTTGTAGAGACAACAATTGAATTTTTGGAATTTTTTAAAATAAAATAGTTGAACTGAGTAGTACTGTAAGCGAAAAACTGTTGAAACAAGTTGTGTGAAAGTATTTAAGAAAAAAAATGTACTTCACATTTTACTCTCATTTTCATTGACACAATTAAAAACATGGGTATTATAATCAGAGGAGTTGATTGTAGTCAGGCACATAGGACACACTTCAGTTTTAGTTTTACTGAAATACAAAATTAATTTATATTAATAGTCCATAACCTAATCAAGTGGTAACAAAAGTGGAAACGGTTATAAAGAAAAATAATGTTGGCAAGTGATACATTAGTTATAAACTAATTTCGTTTAATTTATTTTAATATTGAAATAAATGTCTAACGACGTTAATAGATCGTCCTCTTGGATGGTTGGTAATACATTCAAGATCGATCCATCATTTGGCTCCAAAACATTGTTGGCGTTGATATTTAATACGTTTGTACTTGCGCAGTTATCACGGTAAAATCTTAGTTGTCTCTTGTTGTCAGAAGTTAATTCACTTTTTCTGCTTGAATCATTGGAGTCAGTGCTGTTCGTACTGTTGAGCTTCCTTTTCAATCTTTTACTGGTTTTCAATCTGCCTGTAACAAAATCATCGGAATCATCACTATCACTTCTTTTATTTTCCATAAAAAATTTGTTCTGGGTACGCAGTCTAGAAACTTCATTAGTCTTAACATCATTGCATTCTCCCACATTGTTTGTTGGATGAAGGCTGAAGTTTCCTGCTAAAAAGAATTCACAATTTAATTTTCATAAACTGAGTTTTAGTATATAAAAACTATATATTATAAAAAAAATTATGCTTACTACGTGTTGGATTCATTACAAGTTCAGTAAACTCATTCCAATTTGCTAGGGTCTTAACTTTTCTCTGAGCGATGTTAAATTGCTGTAGCCAGACTTTAAAATAGTCTTCCACAATCATGGGCTGGTTTGCATCATCATTTTTTGATATAGGTCTTGTGTCCATAACCTAAAGTGATTTTAATTTTTGCTTATTTAATAAAAAAAATATTAACATATTATTAACTTATACAAGCACACACACACATATGTCTGTACTATGTATTTATGTACTATGTATTTATAACAAAGCAAAACTAAATTAAGGTTTTGCTTGAGTTGAAAACATTAACCAAAAATAACCTCATTATGGAGTAACCTGATTTTGAATTCAAAATAATAAAAATTAATTTAAAATAATAAAAAAAATTCAATAAATAGATGAAATGAATTGATTTTATTTATTTCTGACATAAAAATTTAGTTTTTTTTCTTTTTAGCAAAACTGATATTGGTTAAAAAAACCATTAGTTAAAGTGATGTAATATTAAAATAAAAAGTAACAAAAATATCAATTTTTTATAAATTAATCAAGAACCTGATGAGAGAAGGAAGATTTGTTGAACAACATTTATCCTGAAAATGTAAAAACTAAAAAATATAACAGTTCATTTGCATAATTTAAAAAGACATGTTAACTCAACTCTTTTATGTTCAGGCTCTGGAGGTGATTCATTAGATGGATTTTGAATGTTTTCATCAATGTTTGTGCTAGCTTTAGATGAAAAATTAAAACTTTCATAGATTTTAGACTGTTGTGCATCATTTTCTGTATTTCTTAGCTTTCTTTTTCTGGATGATTTATTAGGATTATCATCATCATCTAGTTTCTTTATTTCTTTCAAGTTTCTACCTTTCTGAAGCAAATTTCAAACCAATCAATTTGCATTATAAATCTTATAATATATACTGAAGCTTAAATGACAAGTAAATATTTTAATACCTGAAAAATTACATCTGTTAATAAAAAATAGATGAAAGTTAGGGTGAAAATTTTTTAATACTAGAATGAATGCAAAATGAAGTAATACTTTTTTGATTTTCTAAAATAATTCAACTCAGATTATAATTATGAATTAAAATTGGATTGAACAGTTGGTAACAGTGGAAATCCCTTGTAAAATACAATGCATGTCATAAATAAACCTTAGCCCTAGCTATTAGCCAAAGCTCATATGAATATGACATTGGTAGCAGTGCAAATGTAGCCAAAAGAAAAAATTTATTGAAACTTCATTAATTAAATATTAAATTAAAGCAAGTATAATATATTTATTTATTTATTACATATATGTAATACAATATACTATATTTCATTATATGGCAATGTAGTCAAAAAAACTTACCATTAAAAACTAAACTACACAACTAATTAAAATAAAGTTAGTATATTTTAGTAAAAAGCAAAGGTAAAAAAAAATTAAATGCTTAGAAAACATTTTTGTTTTTTTATATTTTATAATGTATATCTTTAGAGATAGAGAGGATTAGTTTCATAAGTGAATAGTCTCCAAATCCAAATGTAACTCTCATTTTATTTAATGAGCACAGCTCTGTAGTTGGCAGGTTCGACTAGCACCAGACATTTGATTTGATTGATGCTTCTCAGTCAGCTGCTAAAATGCTAAATTAAATACTTAGATAATAAATTATTATTTATTTATTTATTTAATTATATAATTATTTATGTATCAGGTCAGAGCAAGCATTATCGCGCAGGGTGCTGTGGATATTTTCTGTGGCTCAAATGTACAGCAAGTCGCATCAATCGTCCACAGAGCTTCATAATAAAAAAAAAAACGTATGTAATAACCATTACTAAGTGATTGCCACAGAGGTTAAGCTTAAAAACTAATCAGCCGTTCAACCGTATACATTTCATAACGATAGAGTTCGCGCATTTTTAACCTAAGTAACAGCCAAAGAAAATGAAAATTTTAGAAAGTTTAACGCTATATCAAATTTAATGTTTAATTTAAAGCAGTTGGATTCATGGAACTTGGACATATTGTGTTCTTCCCAGCAAATGTTTTAACTAGAAGAACGGCACTAACGTCCTAGACTCACTTAAAGGGACTTATTGAGTGGCAAACATTGAATAACACACAGGAAGTGAAATAAAGCGTCTGATCTTAACGTTGACTTGGAAGTATTAGACTGTAAAATTATAATAAATGCTTGACGTCATTGCTTTTCTTGCTTTCGTAAAATGGGAGAGATAAAATAGGGCAATTCCAGTTTAGAACTCCATGGTGGCAAATGAAATTTGATGATTGACTATGCTATGTTAACCATGGATATCCATGATGTTAACGTTCTAACCATGGATATATATATATATATATATATATATATATATGGTTCCAACATTAAAGCTTAGAAAGATCTGATTTACTTCGATCGCAGCTTACGGTTGATAATGGATGCGTGACGTCAATACCGCTTCCGCTTCTAGTAAGACTTTTTATGAGAGGCATATACAAAAAGAAGGTAAACCTCAATTACCCCGATCGTACTTTTAAGTCTAAATTAGTTCAGATCAATAAATACTATATTTTAATTTTTTTTAAAAATCTTTTTTTAAATTATGTTGTAAAAAAAACTACTGCTGAAACAATAACATACAAAAAGTATACGAGGTGGTACACAAATGTTTTATTGATTTCTATTCCAAAAAATATTAATCATCACAATCACTGTCAGAATCTTCCTCGTTTTTACTAGAATAAATTGTTTTCAATTTAGATTTTTTTTTAGTCTGGACTTCGGTTGGAGGATGCAGTAAATCACCAGCATAATTTAAAATGCCAGCTTGTGCAATTCTCCACTCCAGTCTACTTGTTGCAAAATCTGTTCTTCCACCCAAATCATCAAAACCAACTATGTAGTCAACAGATTTAGTTTCTTTAATTAAACATATTGTAGGAATAACTTTTATTCTCAATCTCTCAACTAAGAAATGGCAACGTTCTGCATTAATTTTGATAAATTTACATTCAATGTGACTTGAAGAAAGTATTTCTAAATGTTTGTCCACAATCTGAAAAAAAATCAACAAAAAGGAATCAGGTAAATGTAAAATTAAAAATTTATTAAAGTTATAAAAACAACACAATTAATATTATTATTATTATTAATGATCATGGAAAAATGTGGATGAAGATCAGATTGTTCAGTCAATTGCAAATTCTCCAATATCTGGACCATGCAAAAGTGAAAATGTTGAGAACGAATTAAAATTGTTCAATATGGAATTAAAAGGCATTGTTGACCGATGTGTGCCGCTAAGAGTGATTTGCAAAAGAATTGATAGAAATGTATCATGGTTTGATGATGATTGCCTACGGGTCAAACGATATTGCAGAAAACTTGAGAGATTGTATAGAAGAAGTTTATCAAATGTTCATCGTGAAAATTGGCTTGGTTCATTGAAAACAAAATACAAATTATATTCAGATAAACGCTGTGGGTATTGGAACAATTTGATAAAAACCTGTGGCAACCAAAAGGACCGGTGGCGAATTATAAATAAAATCTTATGCAATGATCGAAGTGAAAATTTATTGGATGCTAATGTCAATCATACAGCTGGTGATTTTATGAAATTTTTCACAGATAAGATTGCAAAGATTGTGCATTCTGTTATTCATCTAGTGTTTCAACCTCGTTATTAGAAGATAGAGAGTCACCAACTGTTGCATTGACATCATTTCCTGAAATCGCTGAGGAGGACCTTGTGAAGATTATACTTGACTCTCCGTCTAAAACTTGTTCACTTGATATCATGCCAACACACATTTTTAAGAAATATCTAAAGTTTTTTATAAGTTTTCTAACTAGTTTCATAAATCTCTGCTTAAAAAAAGGCATAGTGCCAGACTATTTCAAGCATGCCACAGTTGTTCCGATTCTGAAAAA